TTAAAATTTGGTGAAAATAGCCAATCAAATTTAGTTATATGGATGATCGATGATTTTCTAAGTTCTAGAACAAATCCATGACGTCGATCCAAATTTGAAAAATCCCAGACTGTATTAACATGGCGCTTTATCTTGGTTTCCTTTTTGAATTCCGGCGCCCATACACTTTTTACAGGAGGATCCTTAAATTTCCGGGTCGGAATGGCCGGAATGCATCATGGTTAGAGTCGGGCTAGGGTTAGAGTTAGTCATTTTGAGTAGTAGAAGCTATTGTAAAATTATCATCTGGGCATTTTTTACGACTATGGTTTCGTTAGTAAAATTCTTTCAAAATTTATCAATTCCAGCCCATCTGACCAGTGTTCCGATGCATTCAGACCAGAATTTTGGGATCTCCCTGTACGAGTTCACCCATACTGAGAATGAACCTACTTTAATAAGAAATTTAATAAAGAGTGTTGTACGTATATCATTTCGAGTAACAATTAATAAAAACATATATACCTCTAAATTTCATTCATCTTCTAAATTAAATCCTTTGTTTGTTTACAACCTATGTACAAACCAAATTATTATTGAAAGTCGTATAACTTTGGATTACAACTGTATGATCATTAGATAATCGGATATTACTAAAACCAACTCAATTAATATAGTTTCAGGAATTCTGTAAAACTCTGGGGAACTTTCCCTTAATATGGCGTAACATACGTAAGTTGAGACGGAAATCGATAAAATTGATTATACTATTTTATTTTTTTATATATTTCCCCAATAAACTTTAATTTGCTTTGCATAAATGATATAAACTGCAAATTTTAGATATAAAAAAAAAAACACTTTTTTGCAAAAATAACTTCTCGAAATGCTTTTAACTACTTTACTTGATCCAGTTCCAATTTTTCCTATCCGCATTGAATTCATCACAGGCTCAGTCTATGTAGCAAATGTGACTATACATACGACTGGTGAAGTATTGTTGGAGAACTTCCGAAATTGTGTCTGGTCGTATGATAGCTCATCTTGTAAACTTTTGTACCATGACAAGGACATACAGCTTACCGATACGATTGAAAGGCTAGGAATCAAGGTAAATATATTTTACGATTATTATAGAAAACTTTTTTATGTTGGAAGAAAAGAATAAAACGTATATACTATGCTAATGAATTATGACATCTGTAATTTTAGGAAGGTGATTTAGTCAATGCAATATATAGTAAATGTGAAAATTCAATAAAACTTTCTAAATTAGAGTTTTCATCTACACCGATTAATGCAAAAAGTTTGATGTTAATCTACTTGAAAACACCTACTGAAAAAATGGAACTGAATGTGTATTGGAGTGACACCATCTTTCAAATTAAAAACATGATCCAGGATTCAAAGGGTATTGCCACTGATAAACAATCCATTATATTTAATGACGATGAATTAGATGACTTTTATACCCTATCATATTACAACATCCAAAAAGAGTCCACACTATATCTAGAATCTAAAGAAATAATTATTTATGTGAAAACAGAAACTGGTGAAATAATAGAACTTGGTTTAACAGCAAATAACACTATCTATGATATTAAATTAATGATTCAAAATAAAAAAAATATTCTTCCTATATTAGTTTTTCTGGTAATGAACAAGATGATTTTAGTACCCTATCTTCTTGTAAAATCAAAAAAGGGTTCACACTTTATCTAGGAATTAAATCAATAATTTTTGTAAAAACAAATACCGGAGAAATTATAAATGTTGAAGTAGAAACAAACAAAAAAATAAGACAACTCAAACAAATGATCCAAGACAAGAAAGATGCTCCTATCGGTCAATAAATTCTTGTTTATTTAGGAAAAGAGTTACTTGATCAGAACACCTTGTTATATTACAATATTCAAAAAGGATCTACATTGTATTTAGATTTTAAAAAAATGAAGATTTATGTAAAAATAATGAACGAAACAAAAACTATAGAGCTAAAAGCAAAAAGAGATCATACAATTAAAGAAATTAAACAAATGATCAAGGATAAAAAAGGCATTCCCTTGGATCAGCAATACCTTGTATTTAATAATGAAATACTAAAGTATGACAATTATTCCTTGTCATATTACAAAGTCGAAGAAGAATCTACATTGCATCTTGAATTTATTAATAAAGCAATAATGATCTACGTAAAGTTAATAAATGGAAAAACGACAAAGCTTGAAGTGAATAGAGATTATTCCACTGAACAGGTTATAAACATGATCAAAGACAAAGAAGGAATTCCCTCTTATCAACTTTATTATTTAACTTTTAATGGCAAGATAATGTATCCCCTGAACACCTTGCAATCAAAATGATTACCAATGAATCCACACTTGATCTATTTCAATATAAACCATTTTCTGGTCAAATATTTGTGAAAACATTAACTGGAAAAACGTTAACTTTGGAAGTAAGTTCGAGTGACACTTTTGAACAAATTAAATGGAAGATCCAGGACAAAGAAGGAATCCCACCTGAACAACAACGTCTCATTTTTGCTGGCATGCAAGTAGAAGATGGCCGTACCTTGTCAGATTATTATATCCAAAGAGAGCTACAATGCATCTTGTACTTAGGCTACGTGGAGGAATGTTTGAAGAAACCAGTGGTCGCAAAGAATTTGATGCATTACCACTACTTACGCAATATATACTAACACCTGAAGAACGTCTACAAAATGGAATTCATGCTGGTATTGTCTGCAATTATTGTGGTAAAAGTGAATGGAAAGGAATGAGGTTAATATCTATTGAATTAATGTGCTTGAATATGTCAAGCTTTCTTATTAATTTGTTTTCTATTACAGATATAAATGTTCAGAATGCCCTGATTATGACTTGTGTTTTAATTGTATCGCAATGTCCAACCTACTTCATAATGTGCAACATCAATTTCTGAAACTCTTGAATCTCTTAGATCCGAAGATAGTTTCAGAAAATACCTCTATTTCTTCTGTTAATATTATCCCAATATTACCAGACACGAAGGAAAAATTATTAGCTCTACTACGCGAAGAAGAGTGACGAAGGCTTTTGCCTGAAATGCAAAAAATATATTTTGATGTTGGGAGCGATCCTACATGTGGCAAGGATTGGATGGATGTTACTGATCAGATGCAGCTTGAGTTAGTTCGAGAGTTTGGATACTCGGATGAGGCTGTACAATTGTTGCGACGTGCACACCACAGCTTTATCCAGGTAAAGAATTCATACTTATAATTTTTCTTAATTTTTTTTTTATATTATTAATATTGAAGTTAATATTCTTTTCCTCACATCCAGATGATCCTGAATTCTGTACAACTCAAGTATATGTTCGCAACAATATTGCTAATATTGGAAATCTTACTGAAGGAATGTCTGCACCTGATTGCCCATTGGTTCCACTAGAATCTTCTAACGATAACAATGATTCATCAACTTTTCTTTACGATCACTTTGTAAACCAGGACGGCCTCTTGTTCTTCTTGGTGGATCATATACTTGTCCTCTATATCGATATATATCTCATGTACTCAATGGTATTTATATGAGATATAAAACTCATGTAGATTTTTATATGATTCAGATTCGAGAAGCACATGCCTCTGATGTTTGGCCAATTGGTAACATTGTAGATGTCAAGGAACATCGTACATTATCTTATCGTTTAACTGCTGCACGTGAAATGGTTAAAAATACTCATTTAGAAATTCCTGTTTTAGCTGATACAATGGATAATAATTTCTTGAAATTATATTCACCATGGCCATTCCGTTTTTTTGTCGTTGTAGATGGTATTTTAAAACTTGTCAGAATGCCAAAAGAAGCACGTTATGATACAACAGATCTAGTTGAATGTTTAAATAATCTTTTATGCAGCAAAAAGGACTAACATTGTTCCTATTAATACTGTATTCTTTAAAGTTTCTATTTTTTATCATCTTGCAACCTTAAGCAGATAGAGTAGATAGACTCAAATATTCAAATGAGCTTATTGCAATATATCAGTTTTGTTACAGTATTTTAAAAAAATATTTATGCAGTAAAATTTTTAAAAGGGTTGGAGCACGACAAACAAAATACTCGGGCACAATTATGTGGCTGTGGCTTGTTCTGCCGTGATTCATTGAAAATATTGTAAAAAGTACGAGCGTATATTTTTTGGTTTATTATTAACACTATTCAATTTCGCCCAATCCTTTTTACCAAATATGGTCATTCTTTGTAATGTGTTTGTATCGTTAACGTTAATAGAATTAGTATGTATTGAAAATGTGCCTTGTCTTTATGAATACTCCAAAATATATCTATTTATAGTTTTGAGAAATATTATTTATTTTATTTTCATTTTAATTAATTGTAATCAGTGATCGTCAAGGAAATAGCGAGAAACCTTTTAACGAAGGTTTGTTCGTTGACTATATCATTATATTTGATCATTACCCATTTTGCCACCTGATCGTTATTTTACATGATAATCCATTTTATGTGCGTACGCACATAACTCATACAGGAATAAAGTCGCAGCCCAGTTCCTTAAGTGAAATGCCAGCTGATATAGACCGTATTGCTTAATGCTCTAGCTCCAATGCATTCCATCTCAGAATTTTGAGAGTTGCCCTTTAAAAATCGTTTCATGTAAATCAACTGATCAACGATCTTAGATATTGGTAGAACTTGTAATATTTAAGCAACTCCAAATCTTATCACTATTGTATTGGTTGTATATTACATGGATACATTGGATTTAATCGCTAGTAATCGTATAATATATAAATATAATAATGGCTTATTCTAACAAAACTTAGTGAGTTTGATTTCATGTGAATATAAATATGTTTAGTCATGATTTTATTAAAGGCCAAATATATGACCTGAATTGTAGCTTAAATTGTATCCATGTGAATGTCAATCTTGATCAAACCTGGCCGAACAAAGCGAGGCTGAAACATAAAAAGTATAAAGCTAAACTTGAAATGAGGCCAAGTGAAAATTAGTGGAAACATACTTTGAAATATAACATTAAAAATATATATTATTGGATTTAAAAGAATGCCAAGTAAAGTAATAACAATAAAAAACATTGATGAAAATCTAAGAGCTACGAACTTCTGTACTTTATATTTCTATTCAAATTAGGCTTAATTAATTAGGCATTATCAAATCATCAGTTATTGATGATTAGTCAATTTGATGTTAGCAGATTTTAATAATATATACATGAACTTAGTTGTTTCAAAAATAAAACAGATGACATGTAAAAAAAGATCAAATGATTTTGGGCAATTAGAATATTAAACAAAAAGCAAATGTAAGTACTGAAATAAAAATAGGAATCCAATTTTATACACGTTACGCAATCGATTTGGTATAGTCAGCTAAACTGATTTTTAGGCATCAGCTTAGCCATGTCAATAAATTTAAATCAATTACAAACACTATCGCTATTGTCAGTAGTCAGTCAAACTAGACGGCAAAGATCATGTGCTAGTTTTGTTAGTTAAAACACGGACATTTCTGCATTTTGACATACACAACTACTATTAAAATATTACATTTTAATATTATACAATTTTAAATATAACTGATAAAGTAAAAGGTATTATACCGAAATTATTGATTTAAATAAAATGATTTATATATCATTCGATTCACCTCATCAAGATGTATCGAATGACTCAAAATAAATTCGATTCTAATCACAGAGTCACGAAATATTAACATTTGATGTTATACAAAGAGTATAATGGCGCAAGTACCATTATAACCAGAGATGCTCGTGAAATTGATTTCACCGCTTTCGCCAATTCAAATCAACTCCACCAATAGTGGTGTAGTTATTTCATCACACTAATTTTATTTCACTATCATCTTTAATTATGACATTAATCGCAACAAAATTGGCACATCAGATCATCGATTTTGATTGGCTAACGGCCGAGGATCTTCATAATTTCCGGCTCACATTACATAAATTCCGGCCGGAATTAATTTTTAAAATAAGCCCGCATTATGGTAAAATTGGCCCAGGAACAATTTTACTTACAGTAATGGGTGGATGCGATTTCATTCCGGCTTAATTTTTTGATCGTCGGTTAATGTAACACTAGGGTGTTCAATAAACTAATTGATCAAAATATAATAAGGGTCATTAAGTTCAGATTTTTTAAAAGGGTTATTTCACATATGAATTTATATATGGGATCTTTTGCTAGTAAAATGACCCTACGAGACATTATTATACAAGATTTTTATTAAGAAAAACATAATAAATCTATTTTTAGAAAAAAAAATCCTAGCAAATATCCCATATAAATTTGTACTAATTTAGATACATTTTTTTACAAACAAAACTGTATCATATATTTTTTTTAAATTGTAGCTCTAGACTAGCTCTACACTGAAATAAACCCGGTTTTTTAATAACCAGTATTAATTATTAATAAAAATTAAAACAAAATTTTATTAAAAGTTATTTAAAAACTGGTTCTATTTCAGTGTAGAGCTAGTCTAGATACAGTTTTTAAAAAAATATAATACATTTAGTCTGTTAGTTGTGTAAAAAAATGTACCTAAATTAGTACAAATTTATATATAAATTTATATGTGAAATAACTCTTTAAAAAATCTGAATTTAATGACCCTAACTATGATTTGATAGATATATAGGAAAACTTTCTCATGATTGGTTGATCACATAAATCAAATAACACGGCATGATTGGTCACTTTGCAGATCATGTGAAACTGGCCAATCGAATTTTTTACTAGTACGATTATATAAAATATGGAGGGATGGTTGCATTCAACTTTTTTGATGTTTACTATTCTGATTTTTGAAAAATCCTTTTTTGGTAGAGATAATAATTTTCATTTATTCATTTTTAGAAAGTGTTAATAGTTTTTCAAATTACATAATAATAACTATGCCATTACAGTCTCAGATATTACCAAATTTGGACAATGCAGATCACACCTTTTTTGTATATTTAGAAAATTCTTTATATTTCCATTTAAGTCTATTGCTATTCTATACTAGTCTATGGGGCTAAATTTATGCCCAATCATTGTCTATTTACTATTTGGTAAACAACTACCTTATAAAGCTTCTGGAGTAGGGCATAAAAGGGAGTTCTGGGGTCACTTTTTCGGTACCCTGGGTACCAAGTATTCATTTTGCTTTTTAGAT